GTAAGTAATATGGCGAGTGTTCGTCGCCTGTGGGAAATTCAGTTATACGCTGAAGCAGGCCAAAGCGACATATTAGGTGTTTCAGAAAGTTCTGTCGTTTTCCAACCCCTAATTATTTAAATGCACGTATCTCGAATTAGACTGAACCTTTCGAGTTGAGCAAAAAACCATTCGAAAGCGCGAATCTCTTTCTATAAGAAGCCGTTCAACTGGGTACGTTTGTGTGGAATGCTGGACCTGGAGGCGATGAACTGAGGGAACGTCGTTTTAGCATCATGTTGGGTTTTGATGTATTTCTCTTCAAGGAAGCTATCGAGATCGTCAGAAATTTGACAGTAGATAGATCAAAGGTCTACTAAGTAAGATGTTCGCAGAACCACTCTGAAGTTTAGCTGGTACAACTTGTGAAGGGTTGGCCGTGCGATGTGCGTTCAAGACACCTTTCAGGGATGTGTGCGTTCCTTTATAATGAGGAATGCTGGACCCATGTCCTAGAGTTTTTGATGATTTTTGAATTAGTATAAAGATTGATTCTCCACTGTAACAGTTCCATCTGATACTGAAGAACATGGCCAGCCGCTGGCCCCATGAAAGCTGCCACAACCCTCCTCCAGCACAGTTTAAATTCTGCAAAGTTTGTAGAGCTTCATCGCCGTCGATCTATTCAGCAAACTTTCGTAGACTATAGAGAAGAATCCGCTCTTTATTGTACGTCGCAAATCTGTAGAGAAACGAGTCGCTTTCATCACATAAAACAAGCGACAATTTGATGGACGACCCTTCAAATTGGTGATTTGTCGCGGCACGCCCCTATCAAATTTTTTGGACTTTCCAGCTTCTTCCGTATAGCTTGGCTGTACAAACCATATACGCCCAGGTTGGGCAGAACCTCCTCTATGGTCTTACGCACAAGTGCTTCAATCAGAACTTTTGGCTAATCGGAGACACCGTCCGATATCCGACCACTACTCTCATCATATTCAAGGCTCTCGCCTTCGTTACAATAAATTTTTTAACTACTGCTTCTGAGCACATTTATTGCAAATCTAGGCCCAAAGCATCGTTAATATCTTGAACTGTTCCCGCCACTTTCAGGTCTATTTAAAGCTAGAAAAAGAAAGTCATGCCAACTTGCTCCTCATCGAGTATACCGCATTCAAAGCTTTGAAAAAGCTATAAGAAAATATTTTAGGACAAAGTTGTGCTAAGCATTGGATAGAGCTGGAAAAGCTCTTCAAAATGATATCAACATCAATTGCAGCTTTCCCAGATTTCAAGGGAAATAAAGCATCCAAAAGTGGAATGTCAGAAAACGACAGAACTTTCTGAAACACCTAATATACTTCGTGGTAGGGTGAGGACTAGTGAGTATAAGAAGTTTTCATCATTTTACTAAACGATTTAAGCCACACTCAACGTTTCCTCTCCCCTTACCACCAGACTTTCTACCAAATATTTTTGGAGGAGTTGCATTAAATTTGAGAGTGCGAAACTTAAGGTCAATGGTGGAGTTCTGTAGTGTGGGAGGCGGAGGCGAGGATGGGATAAGGCTGTACATGGGTAAGTTCCTTTATCTCTTCGCGATCCTGCTGCTTGACTTGGCCCAGCCTTCCTGTTTCGAGCTAGCTGAAGCCAGTTAAGTAACCGTATTTGAACTTGTCCAAACTCTACGCAAGCTTCCATTTTCAAGTGTATGTGTGCTCTGTATTGAAATCGTCTTATGTTGTTATTTGTGGCATATGTAATGCTTATGAGTTCTAGGTTGTCGATTTCAGTTTTAGATTAATTAGCTTATATTTTTTCTGCATTTCTATGCATGTTTATACTCCATGTGGAATAAACAAACGCACAGTCGTAATCACGTGCGAGATTGGGTATAATATAGACTTGTTCACTGCCATCAAAAGTGTGGACGCAGCGAAATTTCGTATGATGTAATCCTTTTTTGGTCTGACGATCTATTTGACTTTTTCGGTTTGTTTCGTGAGACTTGTTGGACTTTGTTGCGTAAGATTCACGCGTTCGTGCTTGAGCTCGATTCTCAGCCTGTCTCTGCTCTTTCAACAATTCTTTTTGTGCTTGATATTTGCCTCGTCTGTCATTATTGATATTGTACTAAACTTCTGAATGACAGAGGCTGCTAGTCCTCTTATGTATCAAGCTGGTTTTTTGCCATATTCCAATCTATTCACTTATCCTATATGTCCCTTTTTTCGGTTGTCTATGTGCTAGTGGCATAGTTTGCATAAAATTGTTCTGTTTTGCTATTCTCTTATCAATCCATTTATCTAAATTGTAATTCTCGAGTGTGAATCCTTTTATATACACTTGATGCTTCTCCGAACTGAACCTTTAGCGTGCTCGCATTTGGCTTCGCGAATATTATGTGTGGCTGATTGCCTTATTTTCTACAATTGTCGTTGAATGAGATTTTCTGACTCAAGGACGATATTTGTGAATATGTTTTTTTGGACTCCTAGGCGTTCGTCTTTAACTGAGGAAAGATTTGGTTTGTGTAAAGTGCTAGTAGTATGTATAGGGCATTTCTTTTTGGACTGAAAACTATGGATGTGTTTGAGGGTGGACGGCAAGAATTCTATGGAAATAAAAATAATATAAAATTAAGAATTTGCTCTCGGGTGGTGTCCGTATTGCGCATCCCTTATCCCCTCGTGAAGGATGCTGAATTATCCGTTTTTTTTCCTGAGACCAAAGAAAGTTATTTTGAGCGCGGTTTTGATGAATGTCGTTTGCGCACTTCGAAATGGCCTCCGGTTATTTGCATTGCTCGATAGCGCCCAAAGCTGCCATCTCATGACATTTTTTCACTTTCTACGGTAGTTCATTAAATTTGACGCCTCAGTAGGATGTAATCGATAGTTCACTCACGACTTATTCAATCTCATTATCCACTGGATCAGCAAATCTACGGTAGGCCTAAGCTAATTCTTCTTTTCACGCTTGCTTCTTCCGGTACCCCCCTAATTCCGAAAGTTTTTTTTTAAATAGAAAAAGCTTTTGCGCATCTTCGAAAACGTAGGCGAGATATCCGTTTGAGTCTAGGGCCAGCGACCGTTATAGTTGAACGGTTGTCACTGAGCCGCACGAGCTGTCCAGCTCTTGTGATCGTTCCTTGCGACGAGCCTGATCTTTGGTCGACTAGCACAGACTCATCAAAGCTGTTGCCGTAGTCATATCCAGCCTAATTCCACAAGGTGAAGCTACGGTTTTCATATCAGCTAGCTATTGGGTTACAGGCTAGTCTGTGACATGAACATATAGGGCTAGGGTACGGGTAGGGAAGGGGTTAGATCCGTAACCAATTTGCTTCAATAGAGTGCAGCCACATCTTTCAGAATGCCAGCACGCTGACCGTAGTAGGGAGAGAATGTTCACTGGGGAACCCTTCTGTCCTTCCCCCTCCCCACCCCACTCCCCTTCCGTTAATTTTTATTTCAAAAAAAGGTTAGTAATGATTCAGGGAGGGCTAGGCTAATGGTAAGCTATTGAGCAAACACTGTTTCAACATCATTTCAATCCTGTTACATAGCCATAGTGGCAGCTCAACTGTTCGCTCGAATTTACAGGTTCTACTGGCAATTTATGATAGAAATTCTCGCTTAGAACGATAAATTCCATGTTCGGTTTTCTTGGAACCTGGGCATTTCGAATATTGTGTTGTTTCTTCTGTGCCATACAGGTTGTTATGGTGGAACACGTTTATTGGTCAACGTTTCGACAATTCGTCGTCTTCAGGACCTGAAACTGGTTCGAAGTCCTAGCTCTGTAGCTCACCCGGTAAAGCGCCTAATTAATTAGGACTTCGAACCAGTTTCAGGTCCTGAAGACGACGAATTGTCGAAACGTTGACCAATAAACGTGTTCCACCATAACAACCTGTATGGCACAGAAGAAACAACACAATATCTGTCAAAGGCTTACTCGACGGAACATGCTTTGTAAGAATAAGTCAAAGTTAATTTAGTGTCACTACCAGCAACTTTTGCGGCAACAGGAAGCGTACGGAATAATCCAAGAAAACGTACGGCAGTGGACTACATTGAGGTGAGCGTCAGTAGGACATCGGATCTTCATAAAAGACTTATAACTAGGATCTGGTAGGCTCATCGATGTTTACGCTACTTTATGGGTAATTCACACGATACGAATGCTAATGGATCCCTTTCTCTGTGAGCTGCAGCACTTCGAGTCAAGCTTCTTTGACTTCGGGACTTAAAGTTGCAAAATCCGAGACACAGGGCCCAGATCCCATCCCACATATTCTTCACTTTGGGGAAGGGGAGGAACGATTTTTGGGTGGGTGTACCACTTGTGGGAATAGTAACTTTTTACATGCTACTGCTACTTGGAGTGCTACTTCTTCCCAAACTTCTTAATATCATTAAAAGAGGTGTCTTATCGTTCTCGAAGCCTGGCGCCAACTACGCGAAAATGTCCCCACCCTTTCCTTATCATAAACAGCTGACGTCAATGGAACCCTCCTACGATTTAGGAATGTTAGGGCTTGTTCCCTGAAAAGCTCCCAAGGACACTCACGAAATTTTTGACGACCAATTCGAGTTAATCGAGTTCCAGAATTTTTCATTTTCCTAATAGCAGAGTAGTTGGGTCCGACTTTGTGAGGGCAGCATACCAGTCTGGTTTCGACGGGTGCGTTACTCTCTTCCAGGTTAGGTCACCTTAAATTGAGACATCACTCATTGCTCAAAATGCATGCCTTATGACTAAAGCTTACGCCGAATCATATGCTAAAGCGTAAGGCCAACAGTAAGGCATACCGATAAGCGCTCGCCCTTGAATCCAAGCTTAACTCAAGGCTTCAATGATCGCGTAGCTTCGGCGACGTGACACCAGGGAGAAAAAATGCTCGTCTCCCGGTTCAACAGCCCGACAGTTCAACCTTATTTTTTACTGAAATCGAAGTAGAGGAACATTGCAGATTGTGGCCGTGGTATCGACTTTTCATTCGTTTGAGGCCTATGCTGAAAGGAATGAAATCGAACGCCGAAGTGGAAGCTCTAGAAAGGAAAGTCAAGGTAATTTGTTCTTCAAGGCTAAATTACATGGCAGCTTATTCCATATTGTTTCGAAAGGTTTCATCCGAGACCTAGGAGGTGCTTGAAAAGAACAACGCTTATTCAAGCGCGCCGGAGGTGGATTTTCGACCTGAATGCTCGCCAAGGCATAGCAAACCCAACCTTCCTGGGTTTCTTCATTGAATGGTAAATTTGTTTCAATGGAGGTACATAAGCGACGCTTCATTTAAGCGTAATTCCAAGAGTAATCGTATCCAATAGCGCCTAGCGGTTTCTGTAGAGGCGTGGTTCTGCCCCAGAACTGAATCGTATCTTACTCTTTTCTCTGAAGTTCTTGAATAAATGTTTAGGAGCTTGAGGAAAGCTCGAAGAATGAAGAAATACAGCGGAAGCGATTTGAAGATGAGCTACGAATGAAAACCGAGCAGTACGAAGAGAGTCGAGCAGCACTGGAACGTGAGCGTATGCTGATGGAAAAACGCAACCAGGAAATCGAAGTACCATGTTCCTTTTCGATAATATGATATTAAACTGATCCAAACAAATTTTTCTAATTTGAAAACAAAATTTCACGGAAAAATCTTTTAATATATCTGTCCTATTCAATTAAGGAGCTGTACAAGTCATTGAAAGCCGAAACCGACAAAGCTGAAGAAGCAGGCCCGGAAGGCAAAGGAGTTGGAAAGGAAAAAGCGAAGGAGGCGAAGGAATGGGCCGAAAAGGTTAGCTGTCCAGTGCACAAGAAAAGAAATTTTGTTTACAAAATGATTTACAAAGAAGATAAAGAAAATATCCGATCAAGAAGGGCGTGCACAGTCCACAATTGCACAGAGCAGCAGCCTGTCGCTCTCGCAGCAGCAGCAGTAGCGGAGCTCTAGCGCTTTTCATCCTTCTCTTTAGGAACTTATGATTGGTTTTGACACGTTTTGTTTGTGGCCTCTAACGGTGGAATGCGTCGCTGTTCGCGTTGCCGATTTGTCACAAGAATTCTGCGTTATGAACAAAACCCGCCCTAGACGGGACTCGAACCCGCACCTCTCGCTTACCGAGCAAGTGCGCTACGAGTTACGCAACCGAGGCACCGTTTCGCCCTAATCCAGCCTCCATGATATGTTTAACTCAAATAGCTGGTTTATGGTCAATTCGCTGCAAGAACTCCAGATCCCACGCGATCAGCGATGGAACTGACGTTCTCCACAGCCGAAATCTTCACGAGCAAAAAAATGCGGTGTGTGCCACGCGGGTTCGAGCCGCATCTGAGGCGAAGGTTCTGCTCACAACCCCATTAGTTGTGGTACGTGTTTTATAAATTCTACAAGGCAATCGTGGTCCAATCACGTTTTTGTACGCTCTGCTTACTGAATTCTAGATGCAAAGGTGATCGTCTGAGCAACAGGTCCATCAGAGGTGGACCAGGGTTCACACGAGAGTGGAGACGAGCATCGGGCCCGTTTCTCACGTCCCATTGACCAGCCAGCTGCCTGCATGGATGAGTCGAAATAGAAAATAATCTGCCGAAACTCGCTCATCATCGCAAGGAGGATAACGAGAATAAGCGCTGGGTAGTGTCCCTTGAAGGAAAATCAACTGAATGATGCTCAGGCCCGCCAATACCGCTGCATGTCTCTTTTAAAGCAACAGTTCAGGAACGGTTTCGCGGGAAAAAACCACCAATAATGAAGTTGTAGATGAAAACCAGACGATTAATGTATGAAAAACTGGAAAAAAACGTCGGAGGTACTCTCCCTCTGGTGCTATACGACGCACGATTGCCGACGCGTCCAACGGCCGGGGGCGGGATTGGGGAAATCCCCAAGAACACCCATGTTTGAGGGACTTTCCACCCTGTTTTTGAGTTTCTGAGGTAAGTTCGTTTATTATTTCCACTGCATATGTTCTTCACTAGGGCTCGTGTATCCCTCAGTAGTAGTGGCATTGAAATTTTCGGACCCTCCCTGAACTGTTGCTTTAAGCAAAAGCTTCAGTAGAGACAATCTTTGCCTATTGTCCAGTCTACTGTATGTAACAGTAAAGAATTGGCACTATCACGACAACTGTAAGCACGCTAATGAATCTTTATGAAAGAAAAAGAAAATAAAAAGAGATCTACTCATTTATGTGCCCTGAAGAGCGTAAAACAAACAGAATAACCAGCCAGCCTCGTCATTGATCTCATCGTTTTTCGCACCCACGCACAGATTATCCTCAGCTTTCTACTATTGATACCTGCCTTTGAACTGACAACCTCGAATTTCAAACTACTCTAATATGCGAATGCGCGGAGCCGATGCACCTTCTATCGCCTGCACTGGAGGTAAGGTAGATAGAGATATTTTACAAAGGTAAAAAAATCTGCTCTGAAGCGCAGATCAGTTCTTATTTGAGGCGTGTCAATTTTTAGCATGAAATTTTCTAGCTCCGTGCCTTCCTTTTACAGGGGAAATCTACGAAAAATTGCAAATTCGTTTTATTTTCACCGGCGGAGAGGGCTATTCCTAAAACTGAGGGAACATCCATGTAAAATATTAATCGATTGGACTGAGCAATTTTCAAAAAATCATACTCCTTGGATGGGAAGATGCATACACAGTTCGAAGGTAGACTCCACAACAGCAGGATATGGTTATTACGGTTCAAATATGAAGTTGTAAGAGCATTGTGATCCACTGGTAGAAAAAAAGCAAAGGAAACCTTTAGAAATGCCAAAAATATGGTCCTTATCTGCAGCTGAGTACAAGCATACATTGAAGAAAGTTTGTGTTGGGGAATGCGAAGAACTTGACCGCTTGCACCTACTGGAGCCGTAAAAGCGGCACGCCTGGGCACTCGCATAGCTCACAAGCGGAAGAAGCTGTATTTACCATTCGAGTGCCGCAGACT